GAATTTGGTCCACTATAGCATCACCAAAAGTCTAGACCTTTAACTGACTCGCCTTTTCACAAAAAGCCCTCACTGTTGATCACCTACAAAGAAGAGGGGTCCCCATTCCTAATAGGTGTGAACGTGCGGAGGAAACAAATTCCCACATATTCCTGCACTGTGACTTCTCTTCTGATCTATGGGGCAGGGTCTTACAGTTGTTTGGCACACAGTGGTTTACCCCACCCTTAGTAAACGCCCTCTTAACCCACAACTTTGAATCAAGTTGGCCTAAGGCAGGAAGAATCCTGTGGAAGGCGACCTTAGCTGCCACCATCTGGTTAGTGTGGCTGGAAAGAAATTCCATAATTTTTCGTGGTACGAGGATCTCAACTCCGACTCTTTTCTAGAAGGTAACCACCCTGGTTACGTTTTGGACGTCCAACTTTCACTTCTTCGCCGGAATTTCAGGAACTCTCTTCCTCTCCCAATGGGGAAATATCCTCCATCACCAACCAGCGAGGGCTAGTAGGCCAAGCAACTGGTTACGACCAACTCAAGGCAGCATCACACTTAATTTTGATGGGTGTTCCTTGGGGAATCCTAGTCCAGCAAGGGCAGGAGGAGTCTTCCGAGACTTTAAAGGCAATATTCTCCTCACCTTCTCCGAATTCCTTCGCTTCAAGGACTCGCACCGTGCAGAATCCTTAGCCCTTTTCCTTGCTCTAAAAAAATTCAACCCTTCTTGGGTCCCAAGTTTGATAGTGGAAGGTGACTCATGGAATGTAATTTCTTGGGCTAGTAGGACGTGTGATCCACCTTGGCACTTGACCCAAGTGTTTGATGAGGTGCAACAAATTTGCAGGGCTATGGACGTCTCATGGCTGCATACCTGGAGGACCTCCAACGATATCGCGGATAGGCTGGCGAAGGAGGGCGCTAGAAGACAGGACCTGCGGCTCAAGCTGGATTCACGTTCTTTTTTGTTTTGAACCAGTGAACCTCTAAGTTGTATTTTGGATCTTTCTTTTTTACTTTGTCACTGTACTCCTCTAGGTGGAGGGTCACTGTTATAAGCCCTGTCCTAGCCTCGTTTTTTGTTAAGGGGGAAATCTTATAATCCAATTACTGTACAGGGGCTACTGATTTTTTGTACCGGGAGTCCCATCTAGGGGGATCTCCTGAAAAAACTTTATACTGTACTATCCTCTCTTCAGCAATACAAAAGTTAACATTATAAAAAACAAAACACTAGAATTGAACTTTTTGCTGGTCATTGCATAGAAAATGCTTGGAAAAGCAGCAAGGCATAAAAGTGATCCCTAAAATTGATAGTGTTTAACATAGTTATGTGTGTGTACTGAAATGATGCTTCTTATTTCATATTCATATCATTTAATCTGGTATTTTACGGCATTCTTAAATTCATTTGGTTTTGGGACTGTACTTATCATTGATTTGGATTAAGCATCCATGCACATGATCCATATTTATCTTATGTACGAGTTGTGAAATTAACAAGCTCTATAGGTTGAAAACATTATCTTAAACTCAATACTGTGAACACCTCTTTATGCTAGACATGATGAGGTCTTGGAGCTCCAATAATAATTCGGGTATTCTAGGTACTTCGGAAAGGGTCTTTTTGGTATTTCTGAAGAGATGAACCACCATTCTGAAAATTGGTCTACAGATTTTTACGAAATTTGATTATGTGGAAAATCTACTTTTGGTCCTCCGCCAAGGTGGTGAACCAAGAAACTGTGGCTACTCAAATTATTTGTACTTGTTGTCACAAGCTGAAAATATTTTCCTGTCAAATTGTTATTGGGAAATGTTATATTATGGACATGGGTAAGTGATGGATGAATGATGGACAGCGGGATGAGGGCTCTGAAGCACCCTGGATATTGTGGCCTAGGAGAAGCTTATGCAGCATTTTGGGCCCAATGTCACTTGGTCCTTCAAAGGACCTTTGTGATTCTGTCTGTTTAGTCTTTCCTGCTTTACCTTCCATGGCTAGAAGTCTAGTACAATTATCAGAGAGAATGTTTGAATGCTTTGCTTTTAGCATGGTTGTTAGTAAAACTGTTGGGAAACCTGTTATAAATAGGAAACTTATCTCTTGAGAAACAGGTTAAATCATGTTTGGGAATTTTTGTGGAACATTTCCTGTTCATTCTTCAACACATTGCCCATATCATTTCCCTGTATCTGCTGAAGTTATTCTGAGTTTTCTATTAATTGTCAGGCATTTTTACCGCATGTGCCCTGTTTGTTTCCCTAATACTTCCTCATTATGTGTCTATTTTTTCATTGGGCTATGATGTAATCATTTTCCTCCTCAGACTCATTGGTGTTATTGGGCTGGTTATCTTAAACCATGATGTCTACTCTAGCACTGGGTATTCCTTCCATGATATCTTTATTGGAAGAGGGAGGGGCATGTTGCTGCTGTGATATCTATCACTATGGCAGAGTTTCTTTCTTTGCCACTTTTTAACATGATAGCTTTGATTCTGGTTCTTCTCTGTGACATTTATTTGTGCCTTACCTAATTGAGGCTTTGTCTGTGTAAGGATAGAACAACAGTCGACAAATTTGTTTATTAAAGGCAGACCATCTTTCTCCTACAGCTCTTAGAGGACACAAAAAATTTTAACCACTTATGATAGAGTTTGAGATGATGATATTTTGCGATGTGCTATACATTGTACATGCTGGATGCATGTGTAAGGACAGAGTTCTCATTATGTATGTGTAAGAGCATATTTTAACATAGCTTATTATGTGTCTTTAGGTCTCATTCCTATTGAAAGACGTTGTTCAGAGGTTTGTTTAATAAATATCTAATCCAAGAATCATAACTATCTTTTATGAGGGTTTACAGATCGATCTCTTATAGTAAGCACATATGTGCATGGACAAAGTTGTCTATTTAGGAGTGTAATATGCTGTATGTTGTGATTATTTGTCTAAATATGTTTGTATTGCTGAATACCTGGCTTATTGGAATCTGTTGTCTTCCTGTGCCTTCCTAGTCCTGCTATGGAATGAAGTATGTTTCATAATCTTTAGCTTTAAAAGCAAAACATTGTGGATAGGTGTCCAAGGAATGGGTTGTTAATATGGAGGAGATCCTAATATTGACTGATTTTACCAATGTACTTTTCATTATGTTTATGGATTGTCCAACCATATGACAAACAGGTCTGTAAACTCACCAAGGAAGGAGCAGGGTGGGGGCTTTAATAACAGTCTATTTTTTCTTTTTTTTTTGAGAAAGTTAACGGTAAATATTATAATAATAAGAGTTTTACAAAAGTAAGGGTCGAGGTAACCCACATACCGGGTCTCTCAACTGAAAATTGGTCACTAGGGAGTGACCTGTTCTAGAAGACTGGCTCTAACATTTTTTGGATAATGTTGACTTTGTATTGCTATAACAAGAAGGAATACAAAAGATTGAGGAAAGAGATATTCGAGATTACCCTCGAGACGGGTATCTCGGTAAAAAATTAAGCCATAACCCCTATACAAACTATATACTTTTGGGGAGACTGTATACAAAAAATTGGGCTTATAGGCACGCCCTTTTACAAGAAGTCAAAGGAAAAAAAGAGTCCTAGAGACCTCTCTGGTCCAGTGCAAAAAAGGAGATGGACCATTCATTGTCTTCCATTTGTGGTCGTCGCCGCACACCATCTTTAGCTAGGAGGTCGGCGGATTCTTTTCGACGTCCGCCATGTATGCCTCCAGCAGACATTGGTATCCCTGCATAGGTGATAAATCTCATAAAATATCCTAGATAGGTACCAAGGAGGATCGGTTGTGCTTGCTGCCCAAGATAGTGTTTTTAGCATCTCCTTCCACCACTAAGGACAAAGACTGGCTCTAACATTACCAGTGAGGCAAAAGATAAGGGCTTATATAAACTGCCCATTACGAGATAGAAGACTACAATCTAGAAAGAGGTGGCCTCCCCGCTGTGCTAACGATATAGATCTCCCTGTTGTGTGCATCTAGACGTGTGTAGAAGGCTGGTTCCTTGGCGAGACGATCTGTGAAGTTGTTGGACGTCCTCCAAATATGCGTCCATGAGATGTTTATACCCCTGCAAGTATGCTCAATTTCGTCAAAAATGCGTGCTAGGTACCAAGGAGGAGGGGCCTTTCTAGCAGCCCAGGATATAACTTTTTTGGCATCTCCCTCTATGTGCAACCGTGGGCCCCAGGAAGGGTTAAATTTCTTGGTTCCCATCAACGGGGCCATGGCCTCTGCGAACTGTGAGTGTTTGTGACCAAGGTGTTCTGAGAAGGATTTCACCGTTATGGTCACGGAAGACTCCTCCCGCGCCTTCTAGGCCTGGATTTCCCAAGGAGCATCCATCAAAATTGAGCTTAATATCCCCCACCGGGGGGGGAATCCAGTACGAAACTCTTGGGTTGCGGTGAGGGGTTAGTTGAATAAGGTTCACCTAGTTGCGAAGAAAACTAGCCACCGAAAACCCAGTGAACATATTGTGGTTGGAAGCCCAAAGATTACCATCGAAGTCTCCCTTTGGATTTTGATATGTTTGTACTTGCTCCCCAGTTCCTCCTTGTCATTATGCGACCTTTCCTCTCTCTGTATATATTTATCTCTTGTTCTATTATTCTCTTTCCCCTCCCGATTTGCTTAATCTTCTCTGGTTACATGGACTCTTTCGATCAACTTAATGTATATTTCTTCGGTATATAGACTTAAAAAATGAGCCACTATAGAAGACTTAGATAAGAGCCATTGGGTCCTGTATGTAAATGCCTATGGGTGGTAGAATAACTGTACTATGTTCCATTACAGTCTCCCTAACTGTTTCTATGAATACTCTTTGTTATCAGATTCCAATCTGGTTTAACACCCTCAATTTTATTATTGTTCCATGTCCTTTTCTGGATGGGTTGCATTTATGATAGTTGCAAAGTTGCTTTGGATAACTGTTGTTTGATTTGGCTGTTAACTGAAAATACTATACTGGATAGAAACAAGATGAAGCTCTTCTGGAAGATATTTGGCTTCTGCTGAGGGCAGGAAGAGTAGAGGAGGCATGTGACCTTTGCCGTTCTGCTGGTCAGGTATGTGGTTTATTGTTTATCGATCCAACTTCCAGGATTTTGGGCCTTATCATCAGTAAATCTTATTAAATTATTTGTGTGCTTTTTGTTGTTTTCTTTTTCTGAAGCCTTGGAGAGCAGCAACTTTATGTCCCTTTGGTGGTCTAGACTCCTTCCCATCTGTCGAAGCATTGGTGAAGCCCGGAAAAAATAGAGCACTGCAAGCTGTTGAGCTGGAGATGGTAATTGGATTTCAGCGGCGACTTTGGAAATGGGCTTGCTTCTCTGCTGCAGAGGTAGAAATTGAGATTTTCATCAGCAGTTCACTTTAAAAAAGCATGATGAATTTCATTGTTGCTCTTAAAACCAAAACCTTTAAAGTCCTAGCAGTTGAGATTTTTATTTGATGGAATCAGATAGTGGCGCAACTTGCTTGTAAATGATTTGCTTTTATTCAACTGGCAATGCATTTCTTGCTATTTCCAGAATAAAAATAAAAAAGAATGCATTTCTTGTTCTCCTGCTGAAACATTTCTTTGGTGTTGTTCTTTGTATTTACTTAGGTTGGTCTACGCGTTCTTGCTTATTATTTGGCTGCTATCATATCTAACTGAGCTTAGCGCCTCTGAATGTCTGCTTTCTGTCTCGAGGATCTCGACTCAGAGCTTTGTTTCCCTTGACCATGGCAGCGTTTACAATGTTTTTTCCCCTCTGAATGTCTGCTAATGCAGTTTTAAATTATAATTGACATGATAGTTAAGTAATTTTATATATCTAGTACACAATTTGATTCTTATTGATGCCCAATTGCATCCATGGAGTTCTGATTCCTGTATATTTCTTGTAAACTTTACCAATTGTGCAGAAAATTGCCGAGCAGGATGGTGGGAGGTACGAGACAGCTGTATTTGCAGTGCAGTGCAGTAACTTAAAGCGTTTGCTTCCAGTCTGCACAGATTGGGAGGTACGTGCTTCTCTGTTAGTCTTCTATGTATCAGTCAGTCACATATCTTGACGCAAGCAAAGGTTATAATATTGCTTTCCATTTTATACTGATTATTTGCTTTCTTGCCCTTTTTAGTGTCTTTTTGGTTGCGTTGTTTTTTTGAACAATAGAAAACTTCTATTTGGGTTATGGAAAATCCAATCCATTACCAGCACTAGGGCGAGAATGTGACCTTCACTTCTCTAACATAAATCCTTAGCTTTAGCATCTCTTTTTCTAAGATATTATGTAGCTGATTGCCTCATTAGTCTAATAACCTGTTTGAGAGCACAACTAGAATTGGAGGCATTCTGATCTCTAGTTCAGGAGCTCCATTAGAACTGGAAGAATGGATATCCCCAATAACTTTTTATTTCTGGATAGAAACTAAAGCTTCTCTACATGGCAAACAACCAGTCTCAAGGCCAATAGTATCCATCTCTACTGGCATCTAGAACCTCGTATTATTTTTCTCTGCCTTTTTCTAGACCCCATGCCCCAGGTTCGAGAGTGATTACCAGTGTTAAAAAAACTCAGATTTGGCCACCTAGGTGGCCAGGGGTCCTGGCCAACTAGTTGGCTGGGCAGGCGTGCAGATTCCTTGGTGACCCAAAAAGAGAGGAGAGGGGTTTGGGGCCTCTAGGATACTGTTGCGGTTTGGGTTGGATACCAGACCCCCTATCAATCAAGCCCAAACCCAAATCATCATATTTTCAGATTCTACGAAGTATAAGACATACTCATTAGGGGTTCAACCTAAATTGTCAGGCCCAGGCCTGGCCCTATTACCAATCAGACCTGATTTGTTGGGATTGAGCCAGCTCGTGTCCGAAACTAGAAACCCTGTTCCCTGTCAAGTTAGGCCCAGGCTGCTTGGCCCAATGACCTGAGTTTCTTGATCTTTTAGTGCTCACCATATCAATTATAAAAATTCACTAAAGCGTTGTTATTCTTTTTGCAATTTATAGTTTTGTCCAAAATAGCAGTAGCATAACTTCATAGGGGGGGGGGGGGTTGTTTGAAAAGTTGTACTTATGTTACTTCAGATGCTGGAGCCCATGGGCCTGTGATTTCCCATCTGCAATACGCGGATGACATGCTCCTTTTCTGTGAAGCCTCGACCCAGCAGGTCGACACCTTGCGGGTTTTCTTGTAAGTGTTTTGAAATGGCTATGGGCTTCCTAGTTAACATGGCCAAATCCTCGATATTGGGTGTTGCCTTGAATAGCCAATCTGTGGAACTTCTGGTAGCCCCCGACGTACCTAGGTCTTCCCCTTTGTCTAGGGAAGCTGAAACATGGCCTTTGGAGCCATCTGATTGATAATTTTGATTGGCGACTTGCAGCCTGAAAGGGCAGGTTCCTCTCTCCTGTGGGTCGCATGACCCTAATAAACGCGACCCTCTCTAATATCCCAATTTTCCAAGTGTCCTTTTTCCTTATGCCTGCCTTGGTCCTTACCCGTTTAGAACATCTCATGAAGCAGTTCCTTTGGTCCAGGATGGTGGTCGGAAGTTCCACCTGATCTCCTAGGACAAAGTCTGTAGGCCCATTTGAGCTGGTGGCTTGGGTATCCATAGGCTTAAGCTCTACCACTTTGCCCTATTAGGAAAATGGTGGTGGTGCTTTGCCACCCAGGAGATCCACCTTTGGAGAGAGGTCCTTACGTCAAAATATCGCATCCCAGCCTCCGCTTGGCAAACCGAGAGGGTGGGCTCAGCAATTCCTCGGGAATTTGGAAAGCAATTAACCGGTTTCTTGCTCTATTTTAAGACCCACTCACTGTTTCGCGCCAGAGCTGGCATCAGGTCTGGTCGGACCTTTGGATAGGCCATTCCCCGCTTAGGGAAAGCTTCCAAAATCTTTACCTCCTGCCTCCAACCGAGATGCTATAGTTGCGGAGTACTTCAACACCATGGGGGTACCAGAGTATGGATCCCCAGGTTTAGAAGATTTTCGATGGAGCATGAGGAAGCCGACTTCCTTGCCATCTCTTCCTTGCTTCACTCTCTCGTCCTTCCTAGCTAGGGCCAAGACGCTTTAATCTGGGCTCCCACGCCCTTGGGGATTTTCACAGTCTCATCTTTCTATAGGGTGATACTGGCTCAAGCCATCTTCCTTTCCCCTTCCCTCTCCTCTTGTGCCTGGTCAAACCTCTCTCCTCCTAAGATTAGATGGTTCACGTGGCTAGTGTGCTCGGAAAGAACCCTAACAGTGGATTAATTGCAATGGAGAGGCATTCAACTCCCAAACCGATGCATTATGTGTCTCAACGACGAGGAATCAAACCCTCTTTTCTTCCTTCATTGCCCCCTTGCTCAGGCCCTTTGGACTGAGATCTTAAGCCTCTTCGGTTGGTAGTGGGTTACCCCTCCATCCATCCCTCATACTTTTCAGCAGCTTTTCTCCCCCCGTTGCCCGAACCACGGCTACTCCCTTGAAGAACAGCAGTGTCTGGCCTTATTTGGACCTTCTGGGCTGAGAGATTGTAGAATCTTCCAAGGAAAGATAAAAACTCTTGACTCCCTAATCAACATCCTAAGATCCTCCATTATTTGCTGGGCCAAGAATAGTAAGTTCTTTAAGAATGCCTCTCACTCGGACTTCTACCAAAGCTGGCTGGCCCTCATCTCTTGACGCCGCACAAGAATTCCTTGCTCCTCCCTTTGGTGACCTCGCAACCATGAACCAGTGTTTTAAAATGCGGCCGCATCGCCGCATATGCGGCCGCATCATGTAGGATGTGCTCGCATTCGCATCGCGTACTGGCGCATATACGCTTTTGACAGATGTGGCTGCATATGCGCCGCGTCAGGCCGCATCATGGCCATATCCCGATTGCACCGCATCAGACCGCATTGCGCCGCATCTGTTTCTGCAAAAAAAATTTCGATTTTGCCTCTCGGGGAGGGGCAAAATGGTTTTTTTGTAGTTCCAAAGTTTAGGGAAACTGTTTGGGGGGTTACTATACCCCCTAAACGAAGAATTCCAGCCAATTTTGTGGCTTTTTCTGCATCAAATCAAAGGAAAAAAAAAATTTGGCGAAAATTTTTTTTTCTTCCAAATCTTCGATTCGGCGGTTGTTTGATACTTGGATGTTCATTTTATGCATTTGATTGTTGATTTGGGGATGTTAAGGTGAATTTGTGATAAGAAATTGGGGATTTCAGAGGCCGTGAAGAAATCGAGCATTACTTCACAGAGTCGGTAACTTTTTATTCATTCTTGTACAATAATACTGTTATACTTATTTTTGGGGCAATGTCTTCTTCCCAATCTTCTAGTAACAAGGATCCGGCTTGGAAATATGCTAAACTAAAAAATCCGAAAGATAGAAATTGTATGATATGCTTGCTCTGTGGAAATACTTATATGGGTGATATTTTTTGACAAAAAGAGCATTTAGCCGGAATTTCTGGGAATGTAAGAGCATGCCCACAAGCTACAGATGATATAAAAAAGGAGATTATAGAATATTTGGATAGATTGAAAAAAGATAAAGAGAAAAAAGAAAAGAAAAGAAAGGAATTACTTGATGATATGCAATTATTTGATGATGTTGATGATGA